CTATAGAAAAATTCTCGTTGGTGAAGTTTTTCTATAGAAAAATTCTCGTTGGTGAAGTTTTTCTATAGAAAAATTCTCGTTGGTGAAGTTTTTCTGTAGAAAAATTCTCGTTGGTGAAGTTTTTCTATAGAAAAATTCTCGTTGGTGAAGTTTTCTATAGAAAAATTCTCGTTGGTGAAGTTTTCTATAGAAAAATTCTCGTTGGTGAAGTTTTCTATAGAAAAATTCTCGTTGGTGAAGTTTTTCTATAGAAAAATTCTCGTTGGTAAAGTTTTTCTATAGAAAAATTCTCGTTGGTAAAGTTTTTCTATAGAAAAATTCTCGTTGGTAAAGTTTTTCTATAGAAAAATTCTCGTTGGTGAAGTTTTTCTATAGAAAAATTCTCGTTGGTGAAGTTTTTCTATAGAAAAATTCGCGTTGGTGAAGTTTTTGTATAGAAAAATTCTCATTGGTGAAGTTTTTCTATAGAAAAATTCGCGTTGGTGAAGTTTTTCTATAGAAAAATTCGCGTTGGTGAAGTTTTTCTATAGAAAAATTCGCGTTTGTGAAGTTTTTCTATAGAAAAATTCGCGTTGGTGAAGTTTTTCTATAGAAAAATTCGTGTTGGTGAAGTTTTTCTATAGAAAAATTCGCGTTGGTGAAGTTTTTATATAGAAAAATTCTCGTTGGTGAAGTTTTTATATAGAAAAATTCTCGTTGGTGAAGTTTTTCTATAGAAAAATTCTCGTTGGTGAAGTTTTTCTATAGAAAAATTCTCGTTGGTGAAGTTTTTCTATAGAAAAATTCTCGTTGGTGAAGTTTTTCTATAGAAAAATTTCCGTTGGTGAACTTTTTCCATAAAAAAATTTCAGTTGGTGTACTTTTTCCATAGAAAAATTTCCGTTAGTGAATTTTTTCCATAGAAAAATTCGCGTTGTTGAACTTTTTCCATATTTTCTATATAAAAAATAGCGTTGTTGAACATTTTCTATAGAAAAATTCGCGTTGTTGAACTTTTTCTGTAGAAAATTTTTCGTTGGTGAACTTTTTCCATAGAAAAATTTCCATTGGTGAACTTTTTCCATAGAAAAATTTTTGTTGGTGAGCTTTATTCATAGAAAAATTTCCGTTGGTGAACTTTTTCCAAAGAAAAATTTCCGTTGGTAAGCTTTATTCATAGAAAAAATTCCGTTGGTGAAATTTTTCTTTAGAACAATTCGCGTTGGTAAACTTTTTCTATAGAAAAACTCGCATTGGTGAACTTTTTCTACAGAAAAATTTCCTCTGTTTAACTTTTTCCATAAAAAAAATCCGTTGTTGAACTTATTCCATAGAAAAATTTACTTTCTTTAACTTCGTTGGTATACTTTTCCACAGAAAAGCTACTGTTTTTTTTAATTTTTATAAAAGTCACCCCATTTCATTTTTTAAATTTTAATGAAAGTGCAAGTTTAATGCCAGCCAACCCCACATTTCCATTTAAAAATACAATTCTCCCCCACAATTTTAAATTAAATTCTTTGTCTGCAATTATTAATTAATTGAATGAATGTACAAAATTCCTGGACATGGCAAAGTTCAAGGCTTAAATAATAAATATTAACAACAACGGAACACTAACAATAAAAACTAACTAGAGGCTAATTGAAACCAATTAAATGGGCGAGAAAGATAATTTTAATAAAGTAGAAAATAACGTTAATGAATAGTAATTTAAATTATTTTCATTGTGAATGCCTAAAAATATGCTCTGAAAATTATGAATAAGCCAAGCATTAAAAATAACAAAAGTCACACACACATGGCTTCTGTGTTGATGAGTGTAGCAGCACAGTGATCATCTAGAAATGTAAATAACGAAGGCATTACATTGCATTGTTATTGCATTCTCTGCTTATGAGTGGGGGTTTAATGAGTAACGGGTGGCTGTGAGAGCAAGAGAAATCCCTTAATTTATTATTTCTTATTGGTATACAAATGCATTGCCCTCTGCCTTAGTCAATCAACTACTCTTATTATGGAGTGTTAAGTAATGGAATGTGGGAGAGATAGAGAAAGCCGGCTCCCCATTGCCGTTACCTATTGCAATACTAATTCATTGCTCCGTGGCTAAGGCAACACACATTGCCTTCTCTGTCTTATTAGGTGTTGAATGTGGGGAGAGTCATGGTTTCCCTTTGCCTAACTCATTGAAACACCAATGCATTGCTCAGTAGGTGGAATAGAAATCTATGCTCTTGCCATGGAGTTTATTATTATGATGTGTTGTAGAGGGAGAAAGAGAGCTCCCCATTAACTCCCCATTTAAATGGTTATGTTGAATCTCTTCGTTTTTCTACTCAGTTACACGACCAAACAATAAATCATATCGTTGTACTCTTGTTGTTTTTGTTTTTCTTTATACGAAGAATGACTAGAAGGGGAGCCACCAATTGGAGTGTGATTTTCCCTTTTGTTAGTTAGGCTCTTGTTAGACGAATGTAATTGTTTCGTGTAAAAACGATGTTGGATTTTCTTTTATGTATGGATTATTGTTGTTGCCAACTTCAATGAGCACAACAGCACGCAGCCCATTACGATGCTGGTACTAAAGCAACACCAAAAAACCACACACCAACAAAATATAGAAAACAAAAGCATAACAAATCTTTTTTTGGTTACAAGACGAAGAAAAAATAACCAACTGAAAATCGCACGCTTTGGTGTTAATTTCAAATGATCAGGCATTGTTTTTATTGTTGTTGATGTTGTGTTTGCGGTGTGATGTGTGTGTGTATGGATCTTCACACTGTTGGTGTTTTATGCTGATGGCCCCAATGTTTGGTTTTTATGTGGCGACTGTTGGTTTTAATATTTTTTCTACTTCGTTTTTTGTTAGCTAAAATATAGACATGATACCCTTTGTTGCTGCTGTCGTTATTATTTGTTATTATAATAATATATTAGCTGGTTAACAATGACAACTACAAAAGAAAACACAAACCTTAAAAACACCATAAAGGAAAATCATAACATCAATTTTTTATGGAGTTGCACAAAAAATAAATGAAAAATGGGGGTCCTTTCGAAAATATTTGCAAGGCCAAAAGAAAAAAATTAACAGAGAAAAATAAATAAATAAATTGGAGAAAAATACGAATATTATTAGATAGACTCAATTATCGAAATATTAAAATATTAAAAATAAGAAATAAAGTTGGATTGAAAAAGTACTCAAGTTATTAAATAGATTTTAATAGTTAAGTGATTTTTTGTTTTGAGTAAAAATTACAAAAATTGGGATGATAAAATAAATCTATGAAAAACGCAAAAAAAAACATTTTTTTGGCCAACCACGATTGAATTTTCATGATTTTATAAACTGTCTAATTAACCCCAAATAATTTGGATTTTTTCATTGCAAAATACAGCCATAAAACGGTAACCTATATTAAAACAGATTGATAATTATGTCCATAATGTTTTGGCAAATTGCATATCCGTGTTAACAACCAATTTTGGCAATGTGGCCAAGTGAAAGTTTTGAAAATTTAGAAAATCTATAATCAGCAAATTAAAAAAAAAATTATTATAAATTTAACATGTGTCTAAAAAATGATAAATAATGGCAAAAAACGAAATTTTTCTATAGAAAAACTTTACCAACGAGAATTTTTCTGTATAAAAATGTGACCAACAATAATTTTTTCAATGGAAAAACTTCACCACCGGAATTTTTTCTGTGGATAAACTTCAACAACGGAATTTTTTCTATGGATAAACTTCTACATTGGAAACTTTTTCATACAAAAACTTCACCAATGGAAATTTTTCTATAGAAAATCTTCACCAACGAGAAATTTTCTATGGAAAATCTTCACCAATGGAAATTCTTCTATAGAAAAATGTCACCAACGAAAATTCTTCTATAGAAAAATGTCACCAACGAGAATTTTTCTATAGAAAAATGTCACCAACGAGAATTTTTCTGTATAGAAAAATGTCACCAACGAGAATTTTTCTGTATAGAATAATGTCACCAACGAGAATTTTTCTGTATAGAATAATGTCACCAACGAGAATTTTTCTGTATAGAAAAATGTCACCAACGAGAATTTTTCTGTATTGAAAAATGTCACCAACGAGAATTTTTCTGTATTGAAAAATGTCACCAACGAGAATTTTTCTGTATAGAAAAATGTCACCAACGAGAATTTTTCTGTATAGAAAAATGTCACCAGCGAGAATTTTTCTGTATAGAAAAATGTCACCAACGAGAAGTTTTTTATAGAAAAATGTCACCAACGAGAAGTTTTCTATAGAAAAATGTCACCAACGAGAAGTTTTCTATTGAAAAATGTCACCAACGAGAAGTTTTCTATAGAAAAATGTCACCAAGTTTTCTATAGAAAAACTTCACCAACGAGAATTTTTCTATAGAAAAACTTCACCAACGAGAATTTTTCTATAGAAAAACTTCACCAACGAGAATTTTTCTATAGAAAAACTTCATCAACGAAAATTTTTCTATAGAAAAATGTCACCAATCGAAAATTTTCTGTAGAAAAATGTCACCAATCGAAAATTTTCTATAGAAAAACTTCACCATTTTTCTATAGAAAAATGTCAGCGACGAGAATTTATCTATAGAAAAATGTCACCAACGCGAATTTTTCTATAGAAAAAGTTCTCAAACAGAAATTTTTCTATAGAAAAACTTCACCAGCCGTAATTTTTGTATAGAAAAACTTCACCAACGGCAATTTTTCTGCAGAAAATTTTCACCAATGAGAAATTTTCTAAAGAAAATTTCACCAATGGAATTTTTTCTCAAAAAAAAACTTCTCCAATTGAAAATTTTCGAAAGGAAATCTGCACCAATCGAAAATTTTCTATGGAAAATCTTCTATACAAAAAGTTCACCAACGAGAATTTTTCTTTGGAAAAAATTCACCAATGGAAAATTTTCTATAGAAAATCTCTTCCAATGTTTCCTTTAATGTATGGTCTTTAGTTTTTTATTTAAAATCCAAAATATTTACCCATTTTTCGTCGCCTTCTCTTTTCCTCCTCTCTGCTTGAAATAATTCCATAATCCCCACATTGTTTTGTGCAATGAAATTCCACTTTGGGTTATTTTTAGTCACAGAAGGAAAGAAATCTATAAATCAATAATTTGTTTCTCGTATTTGGACCTCCTCCGCAAAGCTGGGCATCATGGCAACCACCCTAAGGGAGGAACACCAATAACCTCATTATCGACAAAGCCATCACCATCGTCATCATCAGACTCATCAGATTCATCACCACCATGTCATACATGCAAAAGTACTTGTACGACTCTATGGCTTATCTTCATCTGCATCAGATCCCAACTATTGAACTCTTTTGCTTGCTTGGGGATTTCAACGGCTTCTACTGCAGAAGATGACAATTAAGCTTTGGATGTGACTTTGATGCTGATGCTGATGGCGATGGGGTTGTCGTTGATGGGTCTTTGCCGAGCTGAGTCGTCGCCTGCCGTTGACGATAACATTGATTGGAATTGATAATTCTGACTTGACAATTTTTCTTTTTTTTTCTCAAATGGCAGATTTGGTTGGTTTGGCTACCGGGCAGCCATTATAAAGCCATTAAATGAAATGACAATTTTTTTTTTTTTGTAATTTTTTCAATATTTCACACACTCACGAAACTTTGCCACTTTTGCTTTTTGAGCCACTAATTTGTCACCATTTTGGCCATGAATTTCATTTTTTGCTAATGGAAAAGGGCCAAATGAAAAACTTTCACAGCCATTTTATTGATTCTCATCAATAAATTTTCCACCTCTTTTCACTCTTTAATTTTGACACTTTCGAACTCTTTTGGCTGGGTCTCCGGGACCTTTTTTGTATTCACTCCGTTAACGTGTCAATCGCGCGCGCCTTGTTCGTTTTCTATGGAAATCCTGCATTAAACTGAAATAAAAAAATTCATTTAAAAAAGATTCACTTAGGGATGCCATGGCAGGCCCGGCCGCAGTGACTAAATGAGCAGCAAATGAATGGCATATTTGTCAAACATGTGGTAGCATTTATTGGTGTTGTTGTTGTTATTTTTGTTGGTAGAATGGTTTGTGGTGTTTGTTTGAATATTTAGTGGCCTCCCCATCATTTCTTCATCTCACTGCCCTCATCATATAGCAGGGCAGACAGAACGTACAAAGAGTGTAACAATGCCACCAGAATGCCTGCTTGTCAGACAGACACAACTTTCTTGGCTGGGGGTAAAAGGCAACGTCACAGCAGACATCGTCATCACTGGTATCAGCATCAGCGTCATTATCATTGCCGTCATCATCATCATCATCGACATTGTCATTGCCACACTCATTTCTGTGTGTGTCATTACACATGACAAACCCCTGCCATTAAGGCACATACTTACAACTGGCTCACACCCCCTCATAAAATGTCATCACAGGCACAAACACCCGCACACAAGGAAAAAACATTGAAATTTAATGGGGAAATAAAGAAACAGTGGAGCCAAGGCAGGATCATAAAAATGTTGCAAAAGATTTTCTATAGAAAAATTTGCGTTGGTGAAGTGCTTCTATAGAAAAATTTTCCTTGGTGAAGTGTTTCTATACAAAAATGTTCGTTGGTGAAGTTTTTCCATAGAAAAATGTTCGTTGGTGAAGTTTTTCTATAGAAAAATTCGCGTTGGTGAAGTTTTTCTATAGAAAAATTCTCGTTGGTGAAGTTTTTCTATAGAAAAATTCTCGTTGGTGAAGTTTTTCTATAGAAAAATTCTCGTTGGTGAAGTTTTTCTATAGAAAAATTCTCGTTGGTGATGTTTTTCTATAGAAAAATTCTCGTTGGTGACATTCTTCTATAGAAAAATTCTCGTTGGTGACATTCTTCTATAGAAAAATTCTCGTTGGTGACATTCTTCTATAGAAAAATTCTCGTTGGTGACATTCTTCTATAGAAAAATTCTCGTTGGTGACATTCTTCTATAGAAAAATTCTCGTTGGTGACATTCTTCTATAGAAAAATTCTCGTTGGTGACATTCTTCTATAGAAAAATTCTCGTTGGTGACATTTTTCTATAGAAAAATTCTCGTTGGTGACATTTTTCTATAGAAAAATTCTCGTTGGTGACATTTTTCTATAGAAAAATTCTCGTTGGTGACATTTTTCTATAGAAAAATTCTCGTTGGTGACATTTTTCTATAGAAAAATTCTCGTTGGTGACATTTTTCTATGGAAAAATTCTCGTTGGTGAAGTTTTTCTATGGAAAAATTCTCGTTGGTGAAGTTTTTCTATGGAAAAATTCTCGTTGGTGAAGTTTTTCTATGGAAAAATTCTCGTTGGTGAAGTTTTTCTATGGAAAAATTCTCGTTGGTGAAGTTTTTCTATGGAAAAATTCTCGTTGGTGAAGTTTTTCTATGGAAAATTCCCGTTGGTGAAGTTTTTCTATAGAAAAATTCCCATTGGTGAAGTTTTTCTATAGAAAAATTCTCGTTGGTGAAGTTTTTCTATAGAAAAATTCTCGTTGGTGAAGTTTTTCTATAAAAAAAATCCCGTTGGTGACATTTTTCTATAGAAAATTTTCCATTGGTGAAGTTTTTCTATAGAAAAATTTCCATTGGTGAACTTTTTCTACAGAAAAATTTCCATTGCTGAACTTTTTCTATAGAAAAATTTCCATTGCTGAACTTTTTCTATAGAAAAATTTCCATTGGTGAACTTTTTCTATAGAAAAATTTCCATTGGTGAACTATTTCTATAGAAAAATTTCCATTGGTGAACTTTTTCTATAGAAAAATTTCCATTGGTGAACTTTTTCTATAGAAAAATTTCCATTGGTGAACTTTTTCTATAGAAAAATTTCCATTGGTGAAGTTTCTCTATATAAAAATTTCCATTGGTGGAGTTTTTTAAAGAAAATTTTCCATTGGTGAAGTTTTTCTATAGAAAAATTGCCGTTGGTGAATTTTTTCCATAACAAAAATTCCGTTGGTGAACTTTTTCTATAGAAAAATTTCCATTGGTGAACTTTTTCTATAAAAAAAATTCCATTGGTGAACGCCGTTGGTGCAGAAAAATTGCCTTTGGTGAAGTTTTTCTATAGAAAAAATTCTCGTTGGTGAAGTTTTTCTATAGAAAATTTCTCGTTGCTGACGTTTTTCTATAGAAAATTTCTCGTTGCTGACATTTTTCTATAGAAAAATCATCGTTGGTGAAGTTTTTCTATAGAAAAATCATCGTTGGTGAAGTTTTTCTATAGAAAAATCATCGTTGGTGAAGTTTTTCTATAGAAAAATCATCGTTGGTGAAGTTTTTCTATAGAAAAATTCCCATTGGTGACATTTTTCTATAGAAAAATTCGCGATGGTGACATTTTTCTATAGAAAAATTCCCATTGGTGACATTTTTCTATAGAAAAATTCTCGTTGGTGAACTTTTTCTATAGAAAAAAATCCATTGGTGAAGTTTTTCTATAGAAAAATTCTCGTTGGTGAACTTTTTCTATAGAAAAAAATCCATTGATGAAGTTTTTCTATAGAAAAAAGTCCATTGGTGAAGTTTTTCTATAGAAAAAAGTCCATTGGTGAACTTTTTCTATAGAAAAATTTTCATTGGTGAACTTTTTCTATAGAAAAATTTCCATTGGTGACATTTTTCTATAGAAAAATTTCCATTGGTGACATTTTTCTATAGAAAAATTTCCATTGGAGAAGTTTTTCTATAGAAAAATTTCCATTGGTGAACTTTTTCTATAGAAAAAATTCCATTGGTGAACTTTTTCTATAGAAAAAATTCCATTGGTGAACTTTTTCTATAGAAAAAATTCCATTGGTGAATTTTTCTATAGAAAAATTCTCGTTGGTGAAGTTTTTCTATAGAAAAATTCTCGTTGGTGAAGTTTTTCTATAGAAAAATTCTCGTTGGTGAAGTTTTTCTATAGTAAAAATTCCATTGGTGAAATTTTTCTATGGTAAAAATTCCATTGGTGAAGTTTTTCTATAGAAAAATTTCCATTGAAGTTTTTCTTTTTTGAGCCACTGTATTTCCAAAGAACTCAATATTATTCCTCAACTCCACCCCTCCCGTTTTTGCGGAAAATCTCCGCAGAAAAACGATGATGTCAAAAAGGTTTCGCATGTTACGCATTAAACTTGCCGCGGATGTCAGCCAGCCTCCGCCATACCTCCCGAACAGATGGTTGGTTGTTCCTAACCCAAATTTCTATTTTTAGCACAATACTGGAAAAATTGTGTCTCAGAGCAAAAAAAAGGAAGAGTATTAGAGAATTACAATCAGGCGTGTGAAGATAAAAGCCGTTCAGAAGGCAAATTTAAATTTTTCTTCTTTTTTTGTGCACCTGAATTTAAAATTTGAAAATAGAGCAGAACAAAGGTGAGGAGGATGAGAGTCAAGGATCGAAAAGATGGAAAGTTGAGTTTGAGAGAGAGAGAGAGAGAGGGGAATTATTTTTAAAAGTTGAATTTTTTAGGGGAAATATTTTCGTGGCGATTTTTAAAGAAATTGTCGATATTTTTTATTTTCGTTTTATGAAAATCCTCCAAATGTTGAAATTTGTTTTCTGAAAATCCCCTATTAATTTTCACCTATTTATATTCATATGTACGTTGGGATATACATATTTGCATACATATATGTATATATCAAATCAAATGGCTTTTATATGAATTTCAAAATCATAAAATTCATATTTCATCGTGGCTTGTGTTCCAATGCTGACTGGCTGGGTGGCTGGCAGTTTGGCCCTGCCCTGCTCTACACAGCTCTGCAATGTTTATTTAATTAAAAAAGTTTTTCAATTACCATTCAAACAAAGCATTTGTTTTATTCCACTCAAATATTAAAAAAAAAAACCAACACAACTTAAATCGTGTTTACGAAATTTCGGTTAATCCTGCTCTTTGTGCAATTTTTTGTATAATTTTCTCGGTATTATTTGGTTAAAATAAAATTGAAATAAAAAAAAATATTTTGAAATAATCCCCATCCACCCTCTACTCATTGCGAGGGTAAAAACTATTTGCAGTCGTCATGGTCTCTCTATTTTTTTTTTTTTTTCTTCTCTGTTTACCTGCGACCTTTGATGGTTAAGCAGTTTTTTATGCTCTGTTTAGATGGCTAAAGAAGGTCAAGCCCAGCCAGCCATCCAGCCAATGAAAAAAAGAAATGTACAGCCGCAATTGAGATGTGCCAATGCAGGGGGAGTGAGAAAGGGAGGGGTGAGAGCATTGCAAATCTACAAAAACTGAAATACAAATATTTGAAAAGGATAAAAATCTATTTAGCCAAACATGATATCATCCATGTATTTGTATTTATCCGGACCGGGCAAATTGCTTTTATGTCCTTTGGCATTTGTTGCCTGGGGAAATACATGCATGCATCCACATGTATTTCACCTTGGGCGTATTATAAATGTTGAAGCAATTAAAGATAAATGATGACAGAAAAAGAATGACAACAAATGGCGAAAAGGGAAATTAAATTCTAGACAAAAAGGTTCATCGATGAACATTTTCAAAAGGAAAAAGTTCAGTGGGGAACTGTTTCTAAATGAAAAAGTTCAGTGATGAACTTTTTCTATACGAAGAAGTTTAGAGATGAAATGTTTCTATACGAAAAATTTCAGTGACAAACTTTTATCTACGAAAAAGTCCAGTGACGAACTTTTTCTATACGAAAAAGTTCAGTGTCGATTTTTTTCGAAACGAAACATTTTGGTGCCGAACTTTTTCTATACGAAACATAAATGAAAAAGTTCAGTAATGAACTGTTTCTATACAAAGCAGTTCAGTGTCGAACTTTTTCTGTACGAACAAATTCAGTGTCGACCTTTCTCTATGCGAAAAAGTTCATTGCCGAACTATATATATGCGAAAAAGTTCAGTGCCGAACTATATCAGTACGAAAAAATTCAGTGTCAAA